CATGAAATCATACCACCACTCCTAACCTGTACCCCACTCTGGTCAGATTGTCCGACCGCTTGCCTGGAAAAATCGCTTGCGGAAAAGCAAGCTTGTTACCTGAGATGCACCGATGAGCTGAAGAGCTTCATCCTTCGTCCCGTGAAATCAGCGGTCACAAAGATGAATCGATCGCGCAGAGAAGCAGAATAGCTGGAAAACCTTCCTTGCCACAGATCTTGTGCAACTTTTTCGTTTGTTCCTTTGGGCTGGACTCGAGACTTTTCCGCGCCAATATGTTTCATCAATCAGTCAAACTCAACAAAAAACGGAAACGCTGTGCCGTGCTAGATTCCGAGGGCAATCCAACCCACCACAGAATTACCCCTTATCCCCAAACAAAATTTGTTGAGACAAACAAGGGGACTTGGTGACTGAAGTTCACTGACGGATTGTCTGTGACACTTTAGGAGTGAAAAAGAAAAAGACTTGGTTTGATTCACTAGAGAAGAAAACATTAGACTAATCCATGTGGGAACTATATACAGGATTGGTCTGATGCTTTGGTTGAAGCATACCTTGCTATAAGCATATAATCCAACAAAATTCTCCAACTCCTTATGATGTTTTTGCTTCAATGGTCATTCCATTAAATGCAACTGCCAGAGTGAGTAATATTGGCGGAATTTTTTCAAAATGCATATTCCCCAACTGGACACAATGGATTGAATTTTGTCTCTTGAATATAGCATAATCTCATGATCACAAAAAAAACACAGAAGAAGAAACTAGAACGCCTGTAAATTATCTCTGTAATTTGGAGTTGAACCATCCAAAAGCCCTAGACTTTTTCCTCTTTTGCCAATTTTGTTTTGCCAGGACTAACTGATCATTTGTTTCTTTTTCATCTTGGGATTTCTTGAAGTAAAATAGTATCTACACTTTTTGGCTTCCTCAAAAAAGCTTTTCCATCGAAAAAAGTCTCATTAAATTATCTTTCACACATTCTATCTGAACATCATACCGACCTTGACAAGTAATGTTTTGAAATTACTTCCAATTTCATGGGGAGTTGATCTTCTCCAATTACTTTGAATTTTTATTCATTTCGGAATCATAACCATTGGAATATTTCTTATTATCACCTCTTCTCTTCTGCAAATACACCAACATCAGAATTAGGATTCAACAGCCATCTTTGATGTGCAATTCTATCTTTCTGTCTTTTTGAAAGCTTGTTGAGTTGGGTATGGAGTCACTCGTTTAACTGGTTGGGTTTCTTGGCTAGGAAATGGGTTTTCATCTGGATGTAAGTATGCTGCTGGGTCTTTCTGTTGTCCGCAATTCAAAGCTGTTGATGCCAAAAACTTGTGCACATGATCGTGATTCGTGACTCCGGCTTACATAAATACATATTATGCAAAATGGTCGGCTAGATCGGGTTTCGACGTCGTCCGCGGGGTTTCCGTACCTCAATGTGGATTCGCGCGCTGAAAATCCATTCCGGTGACTTGTCTTCTTGTAGAGCCTACATCGCAAACAACCCACAATCTGTTAGGATAGCTATCGAGCCCGGATGTCAGTCCGTTCTGTTTTGTGCCAAGGTTATATCTTGCTCGGATCACAAATTGTACCTATGGTTCGGCACTATCAGCTCTCGGATGAGCTGATCCTCGAAGTAGCCAGCTGGTAGTGCCAGTACCAACGTTGATTTATCCCTCTTCGAGAGTTGTGCAATAAGAACCTGGGGTTTTTACCAACCATGTGACTCGATGTCAGCAGATAACGCATCCCTCTTAGGCACTTATCCTTCTCTTCAAATTGAAAGGTACTCCCAACTGCATCCTCATTGATGCAGCGACGGTGAAGGAGATGTCTTCGAAATCAGAGACCGAGTATAAGAGAGTGTTCTCTTACAATCAATAACCAATCATGTTCAAGGTAAGTTCTACGGCACAAGAATCGCATGATTTGATCCCTCACTCAAAGCGAAGATGGGATATAAGAGATAAATTTCTGAAGGAACAGTAGATGAATTTAAGAGTGAACAACAATTTCTTCGAAGGAATGATGATAAAAATACAAAAGGTTTTCCTGCAATGTTTTTTAGTAGATAAAATATCTAAAACAAGTATGAAAGGAGAAGATAGAAAAGAGCAGCATATGAAAGGCCAATAAAGATGAGGAAAACACGAGACTCGGGGCGGAGGAAGTTGGGCCTGTGCATCAACGTTGCGGTGTGCCAGAAGTGTCAAGAATCTTCATGGGAGCACAGACAGCGTTGTTGCGCAAGTAGGCAAGTCGGGGGTGCTTGACAGTACCGGGGTAGCCAAGATCCCTCTGAACAATTTCTCGCAGGGTGGCCAGTTTTGACTTGGTGTCCACAAACAGAGCCATCTCTGACTCTCTTTGGATAACTTGGCGGTAGAGATCGTTCTTCATGGCGCATCGGTGCTTGTCGATCAATTCTACAAAGATGCAATCGGGGGGTTGGTGATGTTAGGATATCGCTATAGGCTATACCTTTTGAAGACAGATTTTCCTTGCGCAAAATTGCTACTCACCAAGCGCTTGAATCGCTTCAGGTCCAAGGGATTCCGCCATTGGTAGAGTTTTTTGCCAAGGGCTTTATCTTGGTTCGGAAATTAAAAGATTAAGGAGTGTAAGCTGTTAGTCTAGAAGGAGGTCTAGACTCCTGTAAACATCTCTTACTTCCAGTCTGGGGTTGAGAAGGAAGGGGGGAGGTGTGGGAGGAGGAACAGTGTGGAGAAACACTTGGATGATGAGTGACAAACAGCAACGAAGGAAATGAAGTGCTGCTATTTATAATGCTGGCATTTGGCGCTGAGCCTGGCTGCTGATTGCTGCTTTCCATTTGCCAAAGCTTCCCCCTTGTTCACAATTACTGATGAAAGGTGTTGCAAATGTTGAGACCAAATCAGATGAGCGAGCTTCTTACTTCTGAAAGGGACGCGCTGCTACCGTTGATACTTGGCAAGACATCACGCCATCAATTGAGACTGAGCCTACGTATTCTGTTTCTTCTTCCCTTTGTGAAAAAAAGATTACCTACTTGTTTACTACTGCTATTGAAAAGGATGCGCTACAACTGCTCAGAATCCAAAGGGCTCTCAGCACCACGCCATTTGGTGAAGCAGATGAGAAGTTCGATTGAGGTGAAAGAATGCGAAGCGGAAGGTTGCCATTACAATTTCGCTTGAGTGTAATCAGATTCTTATCCCCGAATTGTAATCGACTTGTACAAATCTAGTCCTTCAGAACTGGCTTCAAGCTCTCAATTATAAGCGTGTTTGGCCAAGGGTTAACAGTTATATCACCAGTGCAGAATGTGCCACTCATTCGACAGATAACCTGGGGTAGCACCAGCTTTGCTGTGAATGGTACGTCTCCTCAAGAAAAGCCTGACTAAAACGTCATTATTATCAATAAAGGTCATGTCCAAGCCGCTTTGAGCATCACTAGCCATTGGAAAAACTGTGGGTTATGTATTTTCACTTAAAACGCAAGAGGCGATACCAGATATAGCAACCTCAAAGTATTCAGTTATGACAAAAACTTAATTGAATTGTTTAAAAACCGGATTTCTGTCCAAGGAGGGATTATAAGGCATACCACATACTAAAAGTTTTCTCAGAGACTTACAAGCAATCAAATCTAAGTTACAAAGATAACAAAGAAGAGAATTGCAAGTAATAGGCAAAAGAAGAAAAGCAAAAGGAGAGGCTTGTCGCGTAGACCAAGCTGCCCTTGTGCATCCCAGCGGGGGGTGGGAGGAGTGCCGAGGTTTTGGATGGGGCCACCGACTTCCGTGTCCAGCAAGTACCAAAGGCGGGGGTGCTGGACAGTGACTTTGAATCCAAGTTCTTTTGCAACCATTTGCTTCAAGCTGTTCACTTTTGAGTGGGTGTCCACGTAGCGGGCTTTCTGCGCCTCTCGCTTAAGAGCTTGTCGGTAGTATCTGTCTTGACAGGCGCGCTTGTGCTGGTCGAGCACATCTTGAAAAGAGAACATAAGCGGGATGACGTTGTCAGTAAACTTCGAGTCAGAAACTGGCCTGAAAGTGAGCAGGAACTTACCAAGCGCTTGGATCGCTTCATGTCCTAAGTTTTCTTCCATTGTGAGAGTTCTAGAGTTGCTGGGCTTCTTAGCTCTGCAGTCAAAAGATTGGAGAGGAAAGTCTGTCAGATCAAAAAAAAAAAAAAATTGTGGTGGCGTGGAGGAGGGAAGAGGGAGCTACTGAAAGTACTTCCTACCTTTAAGTCTGGAGTTAGGTGGAGGGGGGGGGGAGGAAGAGGAAGGAATGTGTGCCGAAATAATTGGATGGTGGGTGAGTGAGTTCAGCAGTCAAGGGAAAGATGAACTCTCATTTATATTGTAGGCGTTTGACGCCGAGCCTAGCTGCTGCTCTCTGCTTTCCGTTTGCCAGAATTGTTCCCCTTGTTTAGTATTGCTGATGAAAGGCGCTGAAATAGCTGAGACTCAATTGGATGGGCATCAGGGCTTATTACTGCTGAAAGGGACGCGATGCGACCGTTGAGACTTGGCAAGACTTACACCATCAATCAAGACTCAGCTTTTTTATTTTTGCTTCCCTTTGAATTAATGTGGTCTACTTGCTTACCATTGCTGCTGAACATGATGCGCTACAACTGCCCAAACTTGAAAGGGCTGTGAGTGCGTAAAAATCTGATTACATTGAATCTGCTTTGTATTGGAAGTTGTCCGCTTAGCATTAAGCTTATACTCACAGCCCTTTCGAATCTCAGCAGTTACAGCGCAT